CCCCAAAACCCCAAAACCCCAAAACCCCAGGAGATAGAATAGAAAAAATATTCAAAAATACCAAAATCGAATCTAAAAGCGCATTTTAATTTCAATTTGATAATTTTTGAAATAATTAGTTGAATAATGATTATTTTTCTCCTTCAAATAATTTCCCGATATTTTCAATCGTATTAAGTCTTTATTATCGCTCATGTAATGTTGCTTTTGCATTTATTTTTAAATCTAGACTTTCAATAAGCTTTGTGAATACATACTATGCCTAAGATGTATTGCAATTTTGAAATTCTTTCAATGTCTATACGAATTTCATGGTGATATCATTTCTTCTTATCAAGGTTTTGGCTTCTATTAATAAATTTGAATCATCCAACAGTTTGATTTAACTCTGTTTACTATTTTTATCTTGATGCTTTATTGCTTAATTTGATATCTGTTCATTTTATAGACTGTTTTATGAGAATAATTTACCATTACTGCTTTAAGTGAATTGGAAGTCATAGTCTTTAGAGTCAGAATCTAGGTCACTACTACTTTCCTCATAGCTGCTAATACTATTTTAACTCTCATTGAAAGTTTTTTATTTTTGAGAATTAACTTATCTCTTTTTATATTCCTCAGAACCGCTAATATCTGACTCCGCAAATTCATCTTCTTGAGTTGGTTAATAAGACTCGATCTTTTTTATTTTAGTTTTTAATTTTTAATTTGCATTTAAAATTTTAGATTTTACACTTGCATAATCTGCTTGATTATAATTTGAATCATTGTTTTAATTTGAATCCTACCATTTCTGGCAATGCTATTATTTGTTTATACTTTGATTTTCAATTTTCATTATATTATCATTGTGATGATGAGGAATTTTTTCGATGTTAAAAATTTTTCTTCTTTAAAAGTTAGTTACTAATGCTTTTTTATGCTTCATTTTTTTTGCTGTTTCTTTTAATTCTTCTATATTTAAATCATCAAGATCTCTTCTCTTAAAAATAGTATCTTCTTGAGTTGAATTTTTGAAAAATCTTGTAATTTATCCTT